CCCCCGCTTCTCCGGCTCGGCTTCCTGGGCCTCTCCGGGGCTTAGCTCTCGCTCAATAGGACTAAGCCGGCTTAAATCCAAGGGCTCCTGTTTAACTGGTTTGAGGATCGGGCTGCCAGTCAATTTAACTCTTGACACGTTTCGGCACGCGGGAGTACGCGGTGCTGTTGGTGAACAGCTGGTGATGGCTATTATCTCCTGGCACGGGGCGAAGTACTGTAGCCTGACACTGCCCCTTGCAGGCTGGGGCTTGCAAACCTTACACTCGAGGGCTTTCCAAGCCCAGCAAAAAACGTCCTTGTTGCTAGTGCCACTTTAACCGACACGGCCCGCGCTCCAAGCATTGCAACGCATTTCAAAATCTGTGCCTCGCAACTCGACCACCACTCCGGTTGTATCAATGCCCTTCTTCCCAACCAAAAGCCAAATCGGGTGTAACGGGCTTTCCAATTGCAAAGCGCGTCCTGCTGAGTCGATTTTTATGTGTCTCTGTGTGTGTGGATCCCTGAGACCGGCTGTGCCTCTCCACCACCTCACAAAACAGCATCCAGTACAGTAGTGGCAAGCAGGTGTAAGACTGCAGATGGGAATCAAATTTAAAGAGCATGGGAAGAAAGTAAAAGGTGGGTCCCAATCTGCCCTGGAGGAATGTCAGTCTAACATTTAGGAACACAGCTGCACAGGTCACCCCTTACTGTAGGAGTCTAATTCGCCCTGCTCTTTTTCCACCTTGTCTTGGACTCCACACTTTAGCCAAGTTCCCTCTGCTATCCTTACTATGCCCCATCTCAGCCCAGGATGGGGCAGGGAAAAGTTTTTTTTCTGACCTATGTTGCAGTCTATTGTACTAATTTGGGAGATTGCATGCCAGCAGGTGAATGCAGCCAAGACCAAATAGGCACAAGGCCACCCTTTAAGTTTAAATGTTTATTGCAAAATAGAAACCTAATCCAAACATTAAAAATAATATTGACATCTCACTTTTAGAATGATCAAAGTCTAAAAATATGTAGAAGAAATGTTAAAATAAAAGAGGTCAGAACAAGCCAGTCACCATGTGTGCTTATGTTTTATACTCTTTGTTGTATGAGCAAATATACAGTGGTGTTCTTTCATGCACAGAGGTCCAGCAGCCAAGCTAAGCTTAAGACCATATCCCCAATGTCCTTAATAGTCTAAATCCTACTGGCTTATGTTTTATACTCTTTATTTTATGAGCAAATATACAGTGGTGTTCTTTCATGCACCGAGGTCCAGCAGTCAAGGTAAGCTTAAGACCATATCCCCAATATCCTTAATAGTCTAAATCTATAATTTTGCCTGTGGAAGTGAAACAGGACAACTCATAGCATCTTCTTGCTGGCAATGAATAATTCCCAGCACTCACCAACCCACCAGACTGGAGCCCTCCAGAAAATCCAAGCAGTGATTCATTAATTAGCAGCGAGAAGCTGCTGTGAGTTGCACTGTTTGCCTTTCACAGGTACTGTATCTCCTTTTTTTCTTACTTCATGGTCAAAGTGATAAGATATGCTGAATCCGTGACATATATTGATTTTTCCCCCTGCCAATTATATATACTTAGCCAGTTCATGTTATCTTTCAGATGTAGCTCTCACAGCTCTGTTTGTTCTGAATGTCTGTAGAATTTACAATATATACAAGAATTTGTAATACAATATACAGTATAATATTGTAAAATTGCAGTCAAGACAAACCTGAATATGTGTGATGTAGAAATGTGACTATGAAACAAAAGTGGGTGTTCATACACTTTCATGATAAAACAAAATGCCCTTTGAAGCTAGTCTCAGAACCTATTTGAGGTACACCATGAAGTCTCAAGAGAATGGCTGCTTCCTTGAGGCAGCCTCCCTCAGTCCACTCTCTTGGACGTTTCAGTCTACAACATCCATCACTTTAGCACTCCTATGCAATGACACTGCTGGCTGGCAGAGCATGGTGTTATTGTTGTGTGCTGTTAAGTTGCCGCCAAGGCACGAGGAGTCTCCAAAATGTCCAGTCCTCAACAGCCCTGCAACAGTTCTTGTAAATTCCTTTAGGGAGCCAGCCCATCTCACATTCGGTCTTTTTTTTTTTTACTGCTGCCTTCCATCTAAATTTGATCTAGGACACAGCTGTTTGTCTTTCTGGCCAAGCATAGGGATTGCTATAGTCCAGAGCAGGCAGCTGAGATAAACCCCATATCATATACAGTTTGCACATGCAGCATGTAAGTATTCTGCATCTTCAAAATGTTTGGGGCAGATAACTGATTGGCACACAGCATGGGTTATGCTGACACATTTACGGTGTCATCCTAAACTAAAAACGCTGATCCCATGAAGCTGGGTATTTGAAATCGTATTATGGTACTTACAGTAATTTACAGACACATTTAAAGAAAGCTAATAGAATGAGCCATATAGATAGGCGAATGCACACACAAAAGGAACCATGCAGCTCTGGAGTTCTGTCCACACTACAACTCATTCTTAACAACTCATAATACGGGCGCTCCTATTTGTCAGAGATAGCTAGTGCTACTGTGGTATCACTACTATCATTCACATACACTACCTTGCCAGTTATACTGTAACATCGGCCAATATTACATAAGAACAAAGATAGGGTATCAGACTAATAGCCCATCTAGATCTGCATGTTTGTACAATGACTCATAACACTTGTTCCTCTTGGGCTTTACCCGGAGCAGATCTAAATCTCTTCGTAGAAAACCCAAGTTCTTCCTCAGATGCTCTCACACTTAAAATGCCAGTCGGCCTGCGGCTGCAGATTATTTTATGATGATGCATTTGGAGGGCAGTTATGCTACAGGTCCCTTCACTCGAGAGATCCATTTAGCACTGTCCCATCGCCAGCATCTTCCACAGTACAGTACAGTATGCTTGTTAAATGTACTTATGAGAGACAGGTGGGCTCCTTTTCAAACATATCAACATGGAAAACTTATCAAGGAAAGAAATTTGAGTCTGCCTCCACCAAAGGAAACAGACAGGCGGATTGTTCAGTCTTCAGCGAGTACACTATAATTATCTGAACTACATACATTGCAGCGCAAATGCACCTGTACTTGAACGGACCTTTAACAAAGCCATTAAAGAGAGAGAGAGAGAGAGAAAGAAGTTTGTCAGTGCGTGCTCCCCCCTGGGCTCCCGGGTGGACGTCCTGCCTTTTTCTGCATAACTCCCCAGAGACTTCAGCTGTCTGGAACCCTGCAAAGTGTCTTCTTAAAAGCCGCGATATTTTCCCAGGATTTTGTAATTTCTGCTGGAAATGAATACATACTCCTGCTCCTAATTTTCAGTATGCACAGTCCGAAGAAACTCGTGGAAATATTAAACGTTTATTATTTGTCAAAAGCTAAGAACAACTGAAAATCTTAAACAGGAATAAACCCACTAATCAAAATGCATAGATTTCACTATCCGGAGCTCTACTAAGTCTGAAGTTTCCGTACGGCAACGTCCCCGACTGCACCGCTCAAAAGACAAGCTTCCCCTCGACACACGCCCTCCCTTCGGGGGAAAAAAAAGAGACTACAATGCCCGCAAGTGCGTCTTCCGCTTACGTTGTCTAAGGCTCCGCCCTTCTCCTTCCTCGCCGCCAGTGCATTCTGGGAAGCTATCGTTTCTTCTCACCGGATATAACATTCCGCGGTGAGGAGAGAGAAAATATAGGCCCAAGTCAAAGTACCCCAGAGACAAGTTAGGGACTATATATAATTCGCTTATGACACTATTTCCGTTCTTGGGAACAGCCACAGTAAAGCGGGAGCTGTAATTTTTTTTGAGAGGGGGTTAACTGAGGAACTCTTCTTGACCAAGAATTTGAATTAATGAAGGAACTGCGTCCGAGCGTTTCCGGTTGGCGGAGGCAGGCTATATAAACAGCGAGGCGAGCCAGCCGGATCCTCTTTCGCCTCCTTAGCGTCGAAATGGTGGGTAGTGGCACGCGCGGGC